GAGGTTGACGGCGACAAGGCCAAGCCGGCGCCTATGGCCAATACCGTCTGGCGGGGCCTTGTCCAGTACTGGTTGGATCCGCACAACCACACTACGGCCGCCAAGTGTTCCGGATCTAGGTAAGTAGTTAATTTCAATAATATTTACATTATTTTTTCTTATAATAGATTCTAATGAAAATATTTTTCAGGAACGCTACTGACGATGCGGGAAATCGGAAGAACGTCCCGCACACTTCCGGCCAGATTCCTTTTGCCGGAAGACGGCTTATGATGGTAAGTAAATTAAAATTATTAATTTTTTTTTGTTTTCAAATAATTAACTCTTATTTCTCGATACAAATTAATTTTTTCATTTTGATTTTGTAGGTCGAAGATAACGAAGGAGAACTTCCTCCGATGACGAAGGTTTTCGCCGAAACGCATAAAAAGCGTAACGGCGAATTCACGGATCCTCGGTCGGAGGAGATCTACAACGCTGCCTGTGCGGCGATTGAGGAGCGACAGACGCAGCTGACTCAGCAGGCGCGTCAAACGTCTCCCGGAGGTAGCTCGGTCCAATCGACCCCGGCGCTGACGGTGGCGGAGATGGACCAGATCTTCGAAGAGGTAAATTTAATTACTATATTTAATTAATTAATGTAACTTTAGTTTTAAATTGAATTTCTAACCATAATGTTTTTAAATATTTGTAGGTTGCCCCAAAGAAAAAGGGGCGGGTATTAGGGATGGGGTCCATCCGTGATACCCCGAGAGCTACGGCGTCTAGTCACGTCCGGGTCCCGGAAACGGTTATCCGCCAGGAGATCGATCAGATGCGGACCCGTTACGAGACGAGGATCGACCAGCTCTACGGTCTTCGAGATCATGGGAGCCGACAACCCGGTGCTCATGGCGCAATTGGACAAGCTGCGGGCTGATGGGTTGTCGGTTCGTCTGCCGCCGGGTCATCCACTAGGACGCAACCGCCGGTGCAGACGGACGAGGAGATGTTCCGATCTCTCGGGGTTGAGCCTCCTAGAGCCGGAGATCAGGCGCCGGCGGAAGCATCAAACCGAAGACCCGGCAAGGAACACGTCCAGGACGATGGGGAGCAGGCCGATGACGGGATCGACGATTTAGATTTAGGTTTAGATTTAGAGCTCTAGGGTTTTTATGTAAATTACAATTAATTTTAATTTCAAATTTTAATAAATTTTAAATTGTAAATTATTTTTTTTAATTTAAATTTTAATTCGAATTATTTTTTTTTTAATTTTCAATTATATTAAACGTCGTATAATCGTTGTAATAGCTTTATTAAAACCGTCGTACATTCGTCGTAAATATTACGACGATGACTTTACGACAATTTCGAAATCGTCGGTAGTTCGTCGTAATAGCCCTATTACGACGAAATAACGACCATTTCGGCCGTTGTAAAATGATGTTTTTCTTGTAGTGTAAGTCAGTGTACGTCTATAGGTATACGTAAGTAGGTGTACGTTTATACGTCTATAGGTATACGGTAATAGGTGTACATAAATAATTACAGTGAATAGGTGTACATAATTAATTACTGTCCTATATGAAATGATATCCAGCCACTTTCATTTCGATTTTGGGAAAGGCTAAATTCTCCATATTTAAAAAAATTTCAAACACCTTTATGATTAGTTACTACATTTAGGAACCTAAGTATCATAAATATCATAAAATCAACTACTAAGATAGATTATGTTTATACAAAAGTAAGAGTTGCAACTAAAAAACGAAAGTAGACATGCAATTTGAAAAACATCTGTTGTAGTTCGGAATGACAACATAAATAATTAAAGAGACACGAATGCAACAAAATACTAATATTACGGCTTTCACCAATCGAGCATCAACGGCCAGCTTGGAACGACGTTCCTAATGAAGCGGAAGAACCTTTGGGTCTCTTGGGCCCAGAAACAGGTTGTGCACTTTGGCTGCTTAAAATCTTCTGCAAACCACTGGATCCAGTAATTGATAACCCCGCACTGACAGGTGTACAGCGCCAGGAATCTCGGATGAAAGGCAGCCGCTTTCTCAGTGAAATCGACTGGCAAATCGAAATTCCATCCGTGTGGAACGTCGGCCAGCAACAACCGGCTCATCCTCCTCCGATTTTGCACCGTGAGCCTGCCCAAATACTCCTCTGCACGGACGAAGTCTTCTGGCACTGCTCTGAGCCACATCCCGTACACAAAAATGGCTCGGTCGTAGCCTCTCTCTGCAGCATCCCTTATCAATTCCACGCCTTCACCATCGTGCAAGAAAAAGTAGGCTTGCATCCCCCTCTGGAAAATAACCCCTGGATTACCCGCGTCATAGAATCTCCTCATCATCGGTGGGTAATGTGGAACCGCCGCTTGTTCATGCACGATTTCGGCGGGATCAATCGCTCGATAGAAACTCCTGCTTGTGCCGATACGGTTGAAACGAGAACATACAGCACGGAGGCGGGCTGTTTCCCTTATAGTTGGGTTTGTAGCGGCCAGAATTGTTTCCAGCAATTCATCAGGGAGTGAGAGAAGATAGGAAAAATCACCATCACCACCTCTGTTTCTCCTTGGAACCATCTTTTATTTCGATGAAAAGAGAAAAGATAAGAAAATGGATTGAGGAAGAGGAGAAAGGATTGAAAATGGAATGAAAGAGGAAGTTATGATGGTTCTAAGTAGGATGTTACACTGAAGGGATTGAATTTAAAGAGGTAGTGCGGTTTTAATAGAGCCGAATAGCTGTCTTTGAAGAGAGACGTTGAAAAGAGACGAAAATGTGTCTTTTCGTTTACCGGCAAAATTAAATTACCACAATAAATACAGGGAATAACCAAATCCAAGCAAATTTCACCGTTAAACTATTATGATGAATGATTTAATTTAATTTATGATATACCACAATACATTTATGATTTCTGCCACAATACTATTTTTATTTATGATTAAATCGAAATTTCAATAACAACACAGACCTTTTTTATATTTTGGAAACTATATTTCTTGTCATCATTACAGAAGTTTTCTCAACATCACGTTAACCGAGATATAGAGTACAGATTGAGTCCACATAGACGAAATCATGATTAGTTTTAAAATATGCGTACAGAAATAGGTAAGGTGAGACTTTAAATAGATAATGACGTTTGTATACCAAATATTCTCCGAAAATTCCCACAAAAGAGATAATGTCGTTTGTATACTCAAAATACATAATATGTGATAAATGTCTGTAACATTCAAGTGTACAAGTTTAGGTGTACATATTGAGTCCAGATTGAGGTGTTCTTTTTTTTTTCTAGTTATTAGGCGTACAGAGAGAATTTAACTGAGATTTTAAAGATATAAGAGATAATGCTTCTCGAACAACTGCCACAACCACCCATCGAAATTAATTAAAGTCAACAGAATTAAAGTATACATAGATAGAAACCAAAACAAAGTACACCTACATACATAGAAGGCCTAAATAAGTACGTGTACAGATCCTAAACAAAAGATTAAATCATAAAGTACGAAATATGGAATCTAATCGATTACATAAACCAAAAAAACATATTCGCGGATGCTAATCAAATCGATGAATTCTGAAATAACAGCAACGCCGAGGTGTACACAACGCAGGTGTACACACTGAAACTTGTTGAGTTTCACCAATTAGTCACCATTTTTCCATTGACGGCCCAGACCTCACTGCATACCAAACAAATACGAAGAACTTTTGCGTTTCCTGTGCCCAAAAACACGGCGTGCACATGCTTGGCCCCTTTAACAATTCGTCATGCCAATCAAGTTGAGCATTGGCAACACCACAGCGACAAGACCAAAGTGTGGCAAACTGAGCATTAGTTTCAAATCTCCTCTTCGAGAATTCTTCAGGCAAATTATTGACATAACCACGCTCACCTCGATCAATAATTTTACGAATTATTCTTCTCATTGCCCCGCTGCTTAGTTTTGAAAGATACTCTAAACCCACGGGGTTTTCGACCACTGCTTTCATGTACATGCCATACATGTAAATACCTGTTTCGTATCCCATATCTGCAGATTCCTTGATGAGTTTTATGCCACATTTGTCTGCACGGCAGAAGTAGTCTTGCATCCCCTTCATGAACAGCAAACCCGGATTGCGCGCGTCATACATCCTCTTCAACAAGTTGGGAAATTCCCAACTTGCGATAAAAGGCATATCGAAATCTTCGGGAATAGGCATCTCCAATTCCACGGGATCAACCGATGCTAGAAAATTTTTGGTTTCTGTACAGGCCTGGAACCGTTTGCAAACTTGCTTCAGTGTGAAAATATGTTGGACGGAGTTGCAACTGTATGCGAGAACCTTTTCAAAAGATCTTCGGGTAGCGCCATCAGAGGGGATTGACAATCACGGATATCTGCATCACATCGCCCTCTCTTTGGTGCCATAGTTAATTTGTGAGGTTGATTTGTGAAGAAAACGGTTGTTTATGGAGAAAAAATAACTGCGGTTTAGGATTTGTGAGGATAACGGTTGTTTATGTTGCATATATATAATCATTAAAAATTCCACTAACTGAGCGTATACATTAAATGCGGTTACCCGTTCAGATTATAAATGAGTTTGTAAAATTGGTGGCTAAACAAAAAATTTTCTTGTTGTACACCCATTTGATGTACACCTAAATGGATATTGGTATATAGATACAAATTAAGCCGGGAACAAAGTATTCACACACCAATTAATAAATACTAAAATAAAGTAAAGTATAAACAAATTTATCTTGATGTACACCCATTTGATGCATTTGATGTACAACTAAACGCATATTGGTGTACGGATACCAAATTATTCCCGGAACTACGAATTGACACACCAATTAATAGATAGTAAAGTAAACTAAATTATAAGCATATAAATTATCAAATAAACCCACATCCTAAACATTATCAAACACATAATCCAACAAATACACCTTTCATAAATTGTCAAGTTCAACATTAAACTTCGCCATTCGTCCTAAGTGTTGGCAACAGCCGGATTCCCAACAAACTCTTCGTATGACTCCATGGCGTATTTCTCCCTTAACCTGTCAACGTCATCGTCCGTTATCAAACCCATATCCTCCACTGCAAGCCCTGCAGCATGCATCTCTAAGAATTTGGCCGCACATGGGCCACAGTCACCGGATCTCTTGTTCTGATATATGCCCTCCAAACGACTCCATGTGTAAGGGGTGGTACGTAGGCCTTCCGTTAATTTGCTATGCAAATAACGCTTCAATTTAAATGGCATACTTTGACACACGGGCGCCGTATACTGCTCCACAGCCGCTTCATCATTATGACTGATGAATGAGTCCAAAATCTTTATGTTGCCCATTATAAAGTCAATTACAAGGCCCACCCAATGCTCAGACCCACAGTTCATCGGGACGTATACAACGTCCACAAACCGTAGAAACATTTGCCTCTGACGTTGATTAGCCCACTTTGCAGGTTTTCCCAATACAATGCCCTGAATGGTTTTCCCCCAGTCATACTGATTTTTTTCTCCAGATATGAAATCGTTGTAGTAGTTGCCGATGATGGATATGAACAAGGTATCTACAAATGCTACCCTGTCTTTCAAGTATATTTCACCTCTACGTCTCCAAAGCATGGCCATTATGACTTGCATGTGCTGACGAATAACAAAACATAAATAACATATATTACAGATAATTAAAGATTCAGTAAGTACTAACTATATACTTACCATCGTGTTAACCCACTCAGTAGGCTTCGCTATTTATAGGAAGAATTGATTGTTCACAGTATGACCAGTGGTAATGCAAAAGTCGCTGTAATGAGAGCAATTGGTAATTGATAACAATGAAAGTTTAAGGATAAATTGCTTTGAATACGATATAACTTACATGTTTCTTTCACGTGATAATAACTCCTGGAATGCTTGAAGTGGTCTTGTTCCACTGTTTCGAGTGGTTTGTACGCAGCTTTCGATCTGGATACAAATAGAGCTTTCACCTTTGAATCTGCGGTGTAAATATGTCGAATCTTGTCCGACCGTACGCGTGCGCGTTTTCCTCTACCTCTTCCTCCTCTTCCTGTTCCTCTACCTCTTCCTCCTCTTCCTGTTCCTCTACTTTTTCTCTTTACACCAGACGATCCCTCAACTTCTTGTGGGGGTTCTGGAGTACAAGGGGTCTTCTGCGAAGCATCACTTGCATCCTCAGGCGCAGTATGGTAATCTTTCCCCGCATTTGAGTCCTCCTCATTAGCCACAGCCTACAAACCACCGTAACAATAAAGCGTATAACATATCAATCGTATACCTAGCGTATACCTAAAGAGTACTGTATACACATGCATATCATATGAACAAGTTTAATGTCTGACCTGTGCATCCAGTGCATCTGTCTGCGCTTCATTTTTCTTATATGCGTAGCTCAATGGGTGAGGAGTCTGAGGTTTGTAGACTACTAAGGTGCCTGACACCAAATTTGTTCTACCACTATCCACCTGAATAAGTCATAAAAACATAGCACAGTACACACACGTTATGAAACTTAATAGAGTCAGCTGCTGACTAAACAATTAGCTCACCTCGTTGAGGCCAGAAGGTGGATCTTCATCCGGATTGACGAAGTAAGGAGGTGGACGAGTTGTTCCTGAATTGGCTTGTTCAGGTTCAGGGGTCTTCGTCGGAGCTTCTGGAGTCTTCAAGTACGCATGGTCCCTGGGAGAATAATGGTCTGGGCCGTAGTAAGTAGAGGTCCCTTCTTCATCATCTCTTTCTTTCTGGTGTACACCATCTTGGGGGTGTACACCATCATCATGGCGTACGCTAGACTGTGCACCATCATAACCTCCTTCTTCACCTCCATCTTCGGCTTCGTCTTCATCTTCATCCGGTTTTTGACCACCTTTTTTTGGATTCTGTCCTTCGTCATCCTGTTCCCCATCTTCTTTTGACTGGTGTACATCGTTATCTTCTTCGTCATGTTGGTATACGCCCAATCTCTTGTCCAACTCTGTCTTAATCTTACGAAGGAGCAAATTATTCTGACTTACTATCCATCTTTTAAGATCTTCAATCTGTCCACTTTGAGGGGTTTCATCTTCCGATAGATTAGAAGAGTTCTTGCCCCTGCCTCTCTTCCTCTGCATCTTACGTTCTTCAGTTTGATGAGTTTTCAGTTTCTTCTTCGGTCGGGTGGATGGCTCAGGTTCCTGTTCATTGGTAACCTCGTCCTCTGCATCACTAAGATCCACGATAGGTGTCGGTGCCACTGCAATATCCAAAGGTGTGAATTTGTACCCCTCGGCCATGAGTTCCTGCATGAATGCAACTTCGGCATCCTCTACCTCATCTCCCCAACGCAATTCATTCTGTTGGTCATTGTCACCATCATCCACTACCATCTGTTTCACAGACAACTAAGACAAAAACAACAATTGCAAAATTATCAACCAAAATGACAGAGTACTTATCTTTTAAGACAAGTACTACAAAATAAGACTACAAATAGTACAAAATATAATACTACAAATAATTTACCAGAGGATCGGATTCCACGGCAAGTATGTCCCCAAGATGCAATAGTGTGATAACGTTTTGACAGCTTTCGGGATCTTCAACGAAAGTCTTCAAGTTATCAGGTTGAGGAATTTTGGAAACCAACATTGGTATAGATTGGAGGGCCATGAGTTGTAGTGATAGAGGGAATCCATAGCATGCACTAGTTTTCTGTTTAAGTTGACGGCGCAATCGTGTTAAAGGATTCTCCCTTTTCTCGGCATCCGTGATTGCCTTCGGAGCTTGAAAACGAGATACTGTTTTGTTAAAGGATACCCTCCCCCATGGATACAGCATGAACCTATCCAAGTCAGTCAACATCTCAACGTATTTCTCGGTGAGGGCCAGATTTTTGCTATTGCAAAATAGAACACCGTCGACAAGAACGATTAGGGCCAATGGAAGCCGTTTCCATCGGGGTAGATCTGGGTCCTTTAGCATTTCAAGCACATCAAACACGTTTATAGCGGTCGCTCTTCCGAACAGGTCTTTCCAGATTCCTGTCTTTCCGATATCTTCTTCTTCTTCTGTGCTATCAGGTTCGGGATTGCAATTCAATCCAGTGATTTCCTTAAACTCCCGTATCGAATATCTCAGAGGCTGTCCACCAAAGAGGAACCAAATCTCGTGTTTTTTCGTGGTCACAAGTTGTCGTGATAGAAGGGCATGGACTAGTTTGGCGCTGTTGCAAAATAACTTCCCAAACTGGGAATGAAGTAGCTTCTCAAGATCTTCAGTACCCTTTAACGCCTCAACAAGGAGGCCAATGACATTGGCCTTTGAATATATGTTCAACCGAGCACCAACGGGGTAGCAACCATCGCCGAAGACCCTTTTTGGTAGTTTTTCCGAAAGGTGATTTGAAGCTTCTCCATCTTCCATGCCTGTATTCGAAGGTTCTCCGTCTTCCATTCCTGTATTTGAACCAAAACAACAATTCAGAAATGCAGGAAAGATATAATATTCTGGATAAACAGTTAAATGCAAACCAGGGGAAAAGTTTGAGGGAGTTCGAAAGGAGTTCGAAAGAGAGAACAGAGATCTGGAAAAACTACCCTATTCGTATGCTCTCCTATATAAACTTCTGTAACTGTTTCTAGATGATATAAGAGTAATCCAACCGTTTGAATTCAATATATAGACATAAGTACTAGAGTTCATAACCGCTAATACATAAATCAGGCCAATCAGGCGCCCCGTTTCAATCTTAATTTGAGTTACAAACCGCCAGTACAGTTCAGATAAGGTCGAAGTTCATAAATGTAACTTACTTTTAGAATTCTGAGCAGGCCATTCTAGAAGATGAGGAGCGAATTGTACTTTGAATCTACACCGCCGGCGTGGATTGAGACGACTCGCGTGAATGGGATGTTCAACCCGGTCACTCCGTCGCGGTGGCATGGTCGGTATGGGCGACTGCTCCGTCGGAGCTGTCTTCGAGTTACTCCGGAGCACTCGCCTCGACACCGGAGGCACGGTGTTGTTGTGCCTTAACGATTTTTTTACTCTCCGCGCCATTACAACGGTCAGTCGGATGGCTAATCGGAGATGGATTGCCCGAGATGCTAGATGGACTACGTCCAGATGTGGATCCCAAATTTAATTTTTAATTTAAATGTTGGGGTGTCGATAAATTATACATTTGGTTTTACTTCGGTTTATGATATTGGACTTCGGTTTATAAATTTGTGTAATCGGTTTACCAAATCGGATTTAATCAGAAATTTTTAGTTATTTTACTTCAATAATGGCAATTTTGAAAATAGAAAATTGTCTTAGGGCCCTTGTAGGGAGACAAACAGTAAAAACAGCCATATCCTTCCTTGGTTTTGAAAACATCCTATTCCTCTAATTTAAAACTTAAAAATTACCCATTCAGCAATTTTCTCTTTTATATTTTGGGTGAGATTGATTGTGGAGGTGCCAGCCATCTAATCATTTTTTCAGAAAGTTAATTTTCGATTAATATTTAAGGGGTTGTATTTTGTTTTTAATTGATGTCAAAAGAAATCATAACACATTTGCTTATTCTTATTTAATTGACGTCATACGATAAGAGTCGATAAAAATATCGAAATTTAACAACTGATGTTAAATTGAAATTTGTAACACTTAATATATATTATTAAATACCTCTAATTGGTGTCAGATATCTAATTAATGTGAATAATTACTTTTCTCTATGATATACTCCAGAAAGAAAAAAAATCTCGTAGTACTTGGTTAGCATCATAGCATGGCACTATTGGTGGACAAGGTAAGGCTTTGTCGCTTTTGTAAAACATTTTCTTCGGGCATCAATTGAAGTGCAGAGCTTCTTGTCTTTTTTTTCTCCTAAAGAAAATTCTCTAATCATGTCTCTGCTTCTCAGCCGATTCTCGATGCTCAGCCCTGTAGCCATGAGAAGGTCCTCTCTTCTTCTTCCTTGCTTCAAACCCCTCCTTGTTCCATCGTTTGTGCTTCTGCTTGTGGACCGACTCTAGGAAAACTCACCATTAGTGACTTTACTGAAAGTGGTACCACTAATTCGGGTAAGAAGGTGCCTTATTAGTTGGTGTATCCTGATCTATATGATTATGCAGTGATGACGATTGGGGCATCTCATGGCTGGGCAGCTACTCTGAACAAGGACGACTGGATCCTGCGTCTCCAAGATGATCTAAACCCATATGCATCGGACACAAACCCAAAATGCATCTCGCTTCCTCCTCTTGTGGCTCTGCCTCACTGCCAAACCAAAATCATCACGTACGTGTCAATGTCCTAGTCTTCTCCAGAGGATGAAGACTGTGTTGTGGCTGTCAAGTTCTTGGGACCTCAGCTCAACTTTTGCAGACCCTCTGCCGCTGCTCAGAGCGAGTGGACCAACGTCAGGATAAAAAAACCCCTGCTTTTTCTCCTTTAGAGTCATGTTTTCCAAGAAAGACGACATGTTTCGCATCCCCGGATTTGGAGGCCACGTCATCGGGTCATGGGATCCCTGCAAACCAAGCGGTAACCCCAAGTTGCAGAGCTTGGGATTTCAAAACCTTCAAAAGCTGCTGCCGTGCGCACACGAGGTTATGCAATCGTGCTCTACGACCGAGCACTTGGTTGAGTCAAGAACCACCAGTGAGACTTTCTTGGTTAAGATATACAGGAAACTCGACGAGATCATCGATGCTGTTTCCAAAATGAAACAAATTGTGTACTGACGTTAAAGCTAGACGAAAAAGGCAATGCTGTTCTCATGGGTGACATCGGAGATCTCGTCATTTTCATCTCCAGGAATGAACCTTTCTGTGTCCCTGCTAGCTCCTTTCCCGGTTTGGTACCTAACCATGTTTACATCTCAGATGTCGATGAATTCTCATATGTCCATCTGTCTCGCATCTTAATCCTTAATTACATTGGTACATACCCAGCCCCTTACCATATCCCACCTCAAAATATAAATTAGAGTTGTGCTTTGTAATGTACTCAGAGAGTACTCATGCATATCACTGCTTTTATTTTCACAACTAGCTAGTTTGACTAGATTTTTATGCGTGATCATCCATAATTTTCACCATGAACCTTGAAACAATACATTCCATGAGTATTTTGAACAGAATAATCAATTTCTGCATCCATAGAAGTAAAAGCTATGATATCATTATATGCTCTTATATATTGGAGAAACAAAAGCTCACTTAAAAGCTTAACTAATAATGGTGGAGGCTCACGAGTAGTAGAGAGTAAAACACGACTTTGTGTAAAATAAATTAAGAACAATTGTCGTTTACTAACTGCATCTGTTTCAGTACATTCGAATGACCAAACCCAAACATGACAATCGGGACATTGCATTAAGCTATTATTTGGTTATTTTTTTCGTGGTCTTCATCCTTTTATTTAAAATTTTTAATATTATTAGTTCTAATATATCAAAGAAACAGTATAGTATTATAACTAGCAATAAAAATACTCATTATTCTATTTTTTTTGGGATAATGCTGTCATTTAATATTAGTTGAAAATCACCATCTATTCAAAAGAAAATTTTAATTAATATATGTAAATTAACATTCCAAAAGTATATTTTTAGAAATATCTAATTTAAGTGATATACTGTTAATCAAAGTTTGTTGTTGGGAGAAACTTTTTAATTCTGTTTAATTTCAAGTATTCATAGATTTTTTATACTTTCCTGCAAGCAATATATTTTTAAAAATATATTATATCAATTTTATATTAAATTTTTACACCCTTAAATGGAGAATAACACAATAACAGACATTATCAGCCAAGTTTTAATTACATCATACAAGAGTAAATTTTAAAAAATGATAAAGCCAATACAGAATAACTAAATTTGATATTATTGAATAAATAAAACCTTCTTTGTTTAACAATAGTGAACTTGTAGATCTTAAGCCAATAGTATTAGAAAAATTGTAACTATAGCAAATACTTTCACTTTATGGCGTTTAACAGGTAAATTGTATACTTGATAAATAAAATGTTTACCCATCTCTAAATAAAAATAAAAACAAAACTGTGTTTTATACTTCTTAATGAAAAGTTGTGCATCTTCAATATGTAATTGTGTCTTTATTTTGAAAAGATGCAATGCTTCAATATTGAAATATAAATTATTTAAATTTTGAACAATTGCAAGAGTTTAATAACCATTAACTCAAGAGATGTAATTGTTGGTAAATTAACCTTAATTTCAAGGGTTGTAATATTTAGTAGATAACTATATACTCAAGAGTTGCAATGGTTGATAAAATGACTATAATCTCTAGAATTGCAATGTCTAGTAAAATAACCATTACTCAATAACTATTAACTCAAAAAGTGCAATGATTGGTAAATTAACCTTAATTTTAAGAGTTACAATGTTTAGTAAATACCTATAAACTCAAGAGTTGAAATAGTTGAAAAAATGACCATAATCTCTATGATTGCAATTTCTAATAAAATAACCATAAACTCAATAGTTGCAATGGTTCACCGAAATAACCATAACACTTAAATCCCCAACATTCATTTCCTATTAAAATGTAATCATAGATTCACTATACAAACAAAAAACCAAAAGACAACCATACAATGGCTAGAAGTTATATAAAAAATATATACAGTTAAAAATATATTTAATGAAAGACACAACGGTTCATTCGTAGTTTTCCACAGAAACGTATAATTAAAAAAATAAATGAAAAGACACAACTTTATAATAATGATATCTTTCATATTAATAACTGTTATACACACAAAGGTACTATTAATTTAAAAATAATAATAAATACAAAAAAATGATTCATTCATAGCTTTTCATATCATTATTTTCTTCACATATTTAGGGTTTTTTTGGGTTCTTCCTAGCCTTTTCTTTTGTCTCGAATTTGTTTTTGGGATTTTTCATTTTCTTATTTTCAAGACTGAAATCTTCATCACTTTCACATAAATTGGCTTCTTCTTTGTCTTGAAAATATTTTTGGAAAAAAAAACCCAAAAAGTTTGGACTAAACAAAAAAATGGTAATTCTTTTGGCAATTATTTTACTAATCTTAAAAGGCAACATAAAATATTTTCCTATGTTTTTTTAGTTTTATTTTAAAATTTGTTTTTTAAAATTATATTTAGCTATGAATAAAAAATATCTTAGATTGGAGGGTCTCACATCCTCTCAACATCCAGAAAAATAGTTTTGGAAAACAAATTCAAAAATTAGGACTAACCGAAAAAATGGTAATTCTTTTGACAAGTTTACCACTAATTTTAGAAGTTAACATAATATTTTTTCCTATGAGCTTATTAGTTATATTTTAAAATCTGATTTTTAATTTATCATTAATTATACAAGTGTAACACTACTTTTGGTTATACTATAATAATTATATTATTTATTTGACACAGGAAACATGATATACCAAACTATAATG